TATCCCGCGCACGCTCGGATTATCACACGTGAGAGACTTGTGTTGGGTTAATGGCCAAACGGGAGTTGGCCCATAAAACCCCCAAGGGCCGCCCTACGAACGTCCCCAGAAGGCCCAAGACAACGGGTTACCCCTTCGCTTATCCTAGCGAGGTTCGTCTCCAACGAGGCCATGCCTCAACACCAATGCCCAGGGGACGTACGTATCCTAGCGTTGGCGGGTGCTTTGACCCAAGAGCAAAAGCTGACGCGCGTCTCGCAGAACTTCAGACCCAGCAGGAAACAAGAGGCAAGCTCACGGGGACGAACGTCCCAACCTCATGGCAGGAAGCCAAGATCCCAACAGGGAACATGAGGTAAGCTCATGGGGACGAACGTCCCCACCTTTTGGCAGGAAGCCAAGATCCCAACAGGAAATAGGAGGCAAACTCTTGGGGACGAACGTCCTCATGAGCTTGGCGGGAAGCCAAGAGCCCAGCAGGGAACATGAGACAAGCTCATGGGGACGAACGTCCCCACCCCTTGACGGGAAACCAAGATCCTGGCGGGAAGCGCATTTAATGCAGGAGATTTGGTGGTTGTGCATTTAATGTAGAAGATTCGGTGGTTGGGATCAAGCCAACCACAGCCCGCCATGTCAACACATCCAACTATCTATTGGTTGTATAAATAGTAGCATTTATTTCATTGTAAAAGGTGGACAACTTAGCACTTTAATAGTATAGCAACTGTAACAGCTCGTACCATAGGTAACGGACGAACGACCTCACGCCTTTGTATCGAGATGATTGTATTAAGACTTCTTATTGGGCTTTCCTTGCTTGTTTCTACATCTACTTCTTCACTTCTTCCATTCGAAACCCTTGGATAATGTGTTGAGCCTACAGGTTGAAGGAATAAACCTCAACAAGATCATTGAGGAACAATTTAAAACGATAAGGAATGAGGATGCATTTAAAAACCGAAAAAGAAGTGGGCAGGAAGACAGAGGATTCAAAAATATAAAAGTAGATGAAAATTGTGACTGGACCTAAATCGGCTAGGAGACCAAAGCCGAAAATATAGGTCTTTGTCCTTTGAATTTTTAGCACCAACTGCTTTGGGTCTAGAACCTGCTAGAAATTGTAATATTATTTTATCTCGGTTCGTGTCTACCACTAGTTCACATGTAAGCATGATCATATGTTGTCAAGTATCATTTCACAAATTATTGTTATATGTATAATGATTTCATTTTAGTGAGAAGAAAGCGTGTTAAAAATGAAAATTAGAGATGTTAATTGTTTCTTTTTTAAGGTGAATTTTGAGAATTGTGGAACGACAACCAAAGTATATATTTTAGAGTTAGTTTAGGTTGATTTGTTTCGTTTTGATCAATTTTAGCATGTTATAGTCATCTTTTTTCAATTCAGAATTTTTCAAAACCAAAGGTATAATGCAAACGTGTAGAGTGAGGTAAGTTTTGATCAATTTTTGTTTCATTAAGTTAGATTTTCCTGTAGAAGAGTACTTAATGTGGATAAATTTATTAATTATATAATCAGATTTGTGATTGAATTAAATAATAGCTTTAAAAGTGCACACAATCAAAAGTTACGTAACTATATCTATAATTTTCAGTAAACTTAAATTAGGAGCTACTTAACCATCATAAAGGATTGATAATACATCAAATCTCAACGGGGTGAATGATTGACAAGTCCATATTTTGACACGTATTTGATGCGTATTATGATCGTTTTTTATTAATTTTCCTAGCTTAAATGTGTCACAAAACGCCTTATTATCTGAAGTCACATTTACCTGGTTGTTGCTTTACGTTGGTTGTTTTTATAGTTAAAATCAGGAGTTTGAGCCCAGCATCGGCATCGGAGAATTTCTTGTGAAGACTTGATGTACGTTCGTGAGTTGTTGAGAGAGATTGGAGATCCATGGGGCGATTAAGGAGCAACTTTAGAGTCAAAAGAAGTTAAACGATGAATGTGGGGTCGATCGGGATCGAACGGCGAAGAAAAGAGCAAGAAATTGGTCCAAAAGAGGTCTGCACGCCCCACACACCTAGGCCGCACGCCGCACGAGTGAATCAGAGAGCTTGCAATTTGAAAAGTCTGATCCGCACGCCGCACGGTTCAAAATATGCTGCAATGATAATATTATAAAAAAACACACAAATACCAAAATGAAAAATTCAATTGAAGCATATAAATGTTACTTCTATCTTGATTACAATGAAGCTATCTTCAACTCAATAAATTTTATTTTCTTAATAACCGTGTCCTGTCAAATTTCGAGTAAATTTTTTGGACAAAAACACTAACTAGCCACAAATATCACCTTCTAATTATACAAGCAACCCACACGAGTATCTCAGGTTGTTGGATTGAGTTCTCAGATCCAATTCTCAGCAGCATTAGTGTGAGAGTTTCATCCAATGTGGTGACCCCTTGTGCACATCAAACTCTATAATTATACAAGCAACCCGCACGGGTAGCTCAATTGTGGCTGAGTGAGGTTCTGGGATTGAGATCTCATGTTCAATTCTCGACGGAAATGTGAGAGTTTCAGTCAATGTGGTAGCTCCTTGTGCGCATCAAGCTCTGAACCAACTCACTCAGAAACTGGTTTGAAATGATATCGTGACTTACTCTTCTATCATTCTGTTGAGTCATGGTGTGGGGACGTCTAAGGTGGGTGATTCCATCTTTTTGGATTGTAATTATACACACAGTATGATTAGAAAGCTAGCATTCTAATCAGGAGCAAAGTCAGGGCACTACACTGGTACAAAAAATATTTTCAAAAACAAATTATTCCTAATTATTTACGTAAAATATTTTATCATTTTTTAAATTTGAGTTTGATCGGGGTCTAGGCTAAATCCCCTAAATCCGCCTATTATTCTAATATAGTGCATTTTATTTTCCTTATTTACAACTTATTAAGTGTTATGAGAATCAGTAAAATTAAATAATTAGTATGAAGTATCATTATTTAAAATTTTAGCCATCCAATCAAAATGAATTGAATTCCAAGAAGAAAATCATTCCCCAAATCAATAATACCACCAACTAATTCATTTCAAGAACCAGCAGCCGACTTATGGCAAAGAACTCTGATTATATAAACCACTCTCTAAGCTCCAAGCATTAATCTCCTCCATAAACCCTAAACACTCCTCTAAACCCACAGTGCCTAGTTCGGTAGTTGTATTAGTGAGAAAGAAAACGGCAATGGCGATAGTCACATTCCCTGCTTCCTCTGTTTCTGCCCTGCCTCGCAAGTCTGCCACAAAGAAGCTCGCTACCGGCTCACGTCCAGTCACCAGAATGCTTCGTCCCCGCCGAGTCTTCGCCCGAAGATCGCTGCCGGGAAAAATAACTCCGGTGAAGAAACGGTCTGAGGCATGTTATCTCATAATTTCATTTATTATGCTCACATCCGAAGAATTACATATAACTTAGATTTCTCTAACCTATGACCAACAAGTGACCAAACTCACTCACCAAACTTAAGTAAGAAAAATAGAAAAAGGAAGAGTTCAAAGCAAGAAAAAGGGAGAAGAAGCAACTATGGCTATACACCAGGTAATAGAATTATTAGAGGCTCAGTATTGTACTTTACATTAAACTCTCTCTAATATAAATATATCTGTCAGGACTCCTCAGGGAGTAACCTTTTCCATTATTTCACATGGTATCAGAGACCTAAATTTTTCCTCTCTTCCCTAACCCGTGTTTCGCTACACGGCTTCCGCAGCGCCTCAGCAAACCGCCGCCGCAGGCCTCTTCTTCTCCTCCATGGAAGTCTCCACCGTGGCTCCAACTTCTTCGACTATGGCGCCGGTCACATCAGCCTCCACCGACGCAGCCGTAGTCATCACCAGCGCCGCCGTTCCTCTGACCGCGCCGCCGCAGGTGACTCCGTCGCCAGCCTCTTCTTCGTTCATCGCTGACATTCCCGGTACCTACTCACTATTTCAGCCTCTTCATCCGGGAATTCCATGGCAGCCATCTGCCATGCCAGCGGTCCCAGGCCTCTACTCGCCACCCTTCTCGGCTGGATCATCGTTTGCCGGTCCCATTTTTGTTGGCACACCTGGTGTCTCCTCTGTCATCCCTCCCTCTCGCACACCAGCAGCCATCCCGACTGGCTCACTCCTCACAGATCTCGCCCAGAGTATCTCACATGTGGCAACTAATGTCACAAATATTGTAACTACCAAATTATTAGCGGTGGAAGACTACACTACCTGGCGTACACAGTTCGAATCGTTTTTGGTGTCCCAATCTCTCCTTGGCATGGTTGATGGCTCCATTCAGGTACCACCTGCTTATTCCATAGATGCTCTTAACCGTCAAACTCACAATCCCGAATTTTCTACTTGGTTAAGAATTGATCGAACCATCCGTTCATGGTTATTTGCAACCCTATCTAGGGATGTTCTTATCGATGTACGTGATTTAAAACATTCATATGAAATTTGGGAGCGGTTGGAGTCTCGGTTTATGTCTGCTAGTTTAGCGAGATCTATGGAATTAAAGCGTTTATTTAATCAAATTAAAAAGAAACCTGATCAGTCCATGGATAATTATTTGCGAGAAATTAAAACATTAGCTGATGATCTTGCCACAATCAATTGCCCTGTGCCTCAGCGTGAAATTTTAAAAACTACTATTATGGGTCTAGGACCTGAGTATGAATCTTTATACACTGCTGTGTCCTTATTTGGACAAAATTTCCCGTTTGAGACTCTCCGTAATCATCTTCTTGAGTTAGAGCAGCGGGTCCTTTATCTCCGCTCCCAGGAGTCCCAGTCCCTTCATCAGGCGTTTGGCGCGGCTGTTTCATATCCCAGGCAGTCGTCTGGGCAGCAGCCAACCCAGCAGAATTCAGGATTCACTCACCCGGTCGGGCAACAGACTTACCCGGTCGAGCAGGCTCGGCAGAACGGCGCTCCACAGCGCGGGCGAGGACGTGGGCGCGGCAGAGGCAGCGGAGGCAGGGGCGTGGCCGAGGACAGCAGCAGCAGGCATATTGGTTCCCCCAGGGGCATCCAGTTTATTACCCCGGAGGGGGTGGGCAGCCGAGTACTCCTGCAGGGGGTGTGACATCTACGGGTACTGTTATTTGTAATTCTGCTGTGTCACGTTTAAATATTAATGCTTTACCTATTTGTGTTCCTAACAGTAGTCATACAGGCTTGCCATCAGACGGAGGTATTCTCGGATCTGTTCCCCATCCTGTTGTCTGTCAAATTTGTTTTTCTGCAGGTCATTCTGCCATTAACTGTCCTTCTCGTTTCACACAACCGACGTCTCCTGCTCTGTTGACTACTCCCGGTGACAATACTCCTGCTCTATGGTTTCCTGATTCAGGAGCTTCTGCTCATATGACTGCATCTGAAGGTAATTTAGTTAATAAATCTCTCTACACCGGCTATAATTCTGTTAGTGTTGCCAATGGTGCCCATCTTCCCATATGTAATATTGGTGATGTTGCTTTACCTACATCTGGTCGTCCTCTCACTTTAAAATCCATTTATCATGTGCCTCAGTTAAAATATAATTTAATTTCCATTAAAAGGCTCTGTGCTGATAATAATTGTACTGTAATTTTTGATAAAAATTCTTTCTTGGTTAAGGACAAAGCAACGGGGGCAATACTTCTGCGAGCTACTAGTAGTGGACCACTTTATCCTCTCCATCTGCCGTCTGCATCACCATTAGTTTTTGCTTCCGTTTTAGCTTCTGGCCCTGTGTGGCACCGTAGATTAGGTCACTGTGGTGATAGTACTTTACAGTTTCTTAAGAGAAAACAATTTTTATGTAGTCATACTCCCTTTACTCATGAGTGTGTGGCCTATCGTTTAGGAAAATCACAACGTTTACCTTTTATGGATGCTAGTCATACTTCTATTTTTCCTTTGGAAATTATTCATTCTGATGTGTGGCAGTCGCCTGTGTATTCAAATTTGGGATTCAAGTATTATGTATATTTCATTGATGATTTTTCTCGTTATACTTGGATATATCCCATGTGTCACAAAAATGAAGTTTTCATGCACTTTAAAAAATTTAAAGCTTTGGTTGAAAATCTTTTTAATCAGAAAATTAAAAATTTTCAAAGTGATGGGGGAGATGAATTTGTTAATAATAATATGCAGCAATTTTTCTCTGCTAATGGCATTTATTTTAGAAAATCTTGTCCTGACACACCTCAACAGAATGGGGTTGCTGAGCGCAAGCATCGTCATTTACTTGAGTTAACTAGGACCATGCTTCTTGAAGCTTCGGTTCCGAGTCACTATTGGGTCGATGCCATATTTACTGCTGCATATATTATTAATAGATTACCCTCTCCTACCTTAAATGGTCTTACTCCGTATCAAAAACTGTTTAACCGAGTTCCAGATTACTCCTTTATGCGAGTATTTGGTTCTGCCTGTTATCCAAATTTTAATGCCACCTCAGCCAATAAATTATCACCTCGTTCAGTTCAGTGTGTTTTCCTTGGCTATGCATCCGGTTATAAAGGCTATCGTTGTTTGGATCCTTTCACAGGTCGAGTCTATGTTAGCCGTCATGTTAGGTTTCATGAGGACACATATCCTTTTAAAACTCTCTCATCTGCTCCATCCAGGTCTATTTCTACTACACCATCTCCTATGCATCTCACCGATATCACTCTTGACCCACCTCTCCAGTGTGTTCCCACAATTACGGCCGCACCAGCACCACCCCCATCATCGCCACCTCGGACACCAAGTATTCCTATCACTCCGTGTGTACCATCGCTCCATTCCTCCTATCCCACGTCCACAACCAGCCCCCCACCATCACATCTCTCCTCCCATACTTCGTCTAGCACGCCACAGACAACATCAACCGACACTGTCTCACCTGAAACCACCTCACCTACGTCCACTACGGTAGTTAATCACCATCCCATGCAAACCCGTGCTAAGTCAGGAATTTTTAAGCCTAAAACCATTTTTAATTTAAGTACAGTTACTATCAATGCAGATCCTACCTGTTTTACTGAGGCAAATAAACAATTAAAATGGCGTGAGGCGATGGCTGATGAATTTAATGCACTCATTAATAATAATACGTGGGACTTGGTGCCCTTTGATAACTCTAAAAATATTGTTGGTTGTAAGTGGATTTATAAAACTAAATATCATTATGATGGATCCTTAGAGCGCCATAAAGCTCGATTAGTTGCACAGGGTTTTAATCAGCAGGTAGGTATTGATTTCTCTGAAACTTTTAGTCCTGTCGTTAAACCCACCACTGTTCGTATTGTACTTACTCTAGCTATTTCTTTTGGGTGGGGTATACGACAACTTGATGTTAAAAATGCCTTCTTACATGGGAATCTGACAGAAGAAGTTTATATGCGGCAGCCCCGTGGTTTTATTCACCCTCACTTTCCTAATCATATATGTCGTCTGCGCAAGGCCATTTACGGCCTTAAGCAAGCTCCACGAGCCTGGTTTCATAGATTTAGTAGCTTTCTTCTACAACATAATTTTTCCTGTAGCAAATCCGACAATTCTTTGTTCATATACCGCCAGAATAATACTATTCTTTATTTATTACTATATGTGGATGATATTATTATTATTGGCAATTCTGAATTCTCTGTTACCCAATTTATTTCAATTATATCTAAACATTTTGCTATGAAAGACTTGGGTAATCTCCATTATTTTCTGGGTGTTGAGGCCATTCGTTCAGCTAAAGGTATGTCTCTCTCAACATAAATATGTTACTGACCTTCTAGCTCGTTTTCACCTTCATACTGTCAAACCTGTTCGCACCTCGTTAGCTTCCCGTACCACTCTGTCTCTTTCTGATGGTGAGTTATTATCTGATTCTACTGAGTATCGCAGCATGGTTGGTGCATTACAATATTTAACTTTGACACGGCCAGATATTACTTATGCAGTACACTTAGTGTCTCAGTTCATGCATGCTCCTCGTACCGCTCATCTTTTTGCAGTCAAGAGAATTTTCAGATACTTGCAGGGAACACGAGATCATGGACTTTGGCTTCAGCAGTCTAATCGGCCAACCTGTGTAGTTGCTTACTCCGATGCAGATTGGGCAGGTTGTCCTGATAGTTTTCGGTCTACCACAGGTTTTGCTGTATTTTTGGGTCCTAATTTGGTTTCCTGGAAGGCTAAGAAGCAGCCCACTGTGTCCAAGTCCTCCACAGAAGCGGAATATCGTGCCATTGCTTACACAGTACAAGACACACTACATATCCGCTCAGTCCTGTTCGAACTTGGATGGCCTATCTCCGAGCCGGTACATTTATTATGTGATAATATATCTGCTTCTTACTTGACTGCAAATCCAGTTCAGCATGCTCGTAGTAAACATATTCAGATTGATTATCATTTTGTTCGCGAACGGGTTGCTCATGGAGATCTGATTGTTCAACATGTTCCTACTCATCTACAGCTGGCAGATATTTTTACTAAAAGTCTCTCTAGTCAACGTTTTCATTTTTTGAAAGACAACCTGCGCGTTGTATCTCCCGCACAGTTTGAGGGGGTGTAATAGAATTATTAGAGGCTCAGTATTGTACTTTACATTAAACTCTCTCTAATATAAATATATCTGCCAGGGCTCCTCAGGGAGTAACCTTTTCCATTATTTCACACCAGGTGCTTCACACGAGATGCCGCTGAAGTCGGGGTTTGAGGTGTTGTGCTCGTGTGTGAAGAGTTGCGGATGTTGAGAATCGTCATCTGTGTAGGCGGCAAGTGAAGGACGAGCAACGAGAACGATCTGCGATGGAAGCCTGCGAACTGCGATGGAAGACCTACAACCTGCGATTTGGGAATTAAAAGACCGGTTGTACCGTGCGCACGGTACTGCCGGCTGTACGATGGAATTTACCATCAAACTTTCTACTAATTACAAAAAACTGGGTGTATTTTTACACCCCGGTGTAGAATATAAATTGCGAATAAACTATGTGCGATTCTTGAATGATAAAAAAATTAAAACTCTCGATAAAAATAAAAATAGTACCGTTCTTATTTTTAGTAGGAACGGAAAATATATTTTAATAGTTCAGTGTTTTTCTAGGTTTCGCTAATTTTGTTAGTAGAATCAAACTGGTCCTAGACTGGTTTCGTAGCTAGTTTTAATCATATTGTTACATAAAATGATTTGAATTAATTATACATATATAATTAAAATAAAAGTTGTTTACAAAAAGTTTATAAATGTAATGATTATAAGGGTGTTTTCTTTTGACTTAAATTTGCTGGTCTGGTTTAATAAACTAAATATCCGATCACTGTGTATTTTATAACTACGGAAGTTTGTTTTGCTCTGGGACTGAAAATAGTCCAAAAGAAAGCATCTTAATAGTAATTAACTTTAATTTTAGTAACTTATGTTCAATTTTTTTCACTTAAGTGACTATGATATTATAATATACGGTTGCACATAATCATATTTGTGTAAATAAGTTTTACTCAAATAATATTTTACCAAAATCCCAATATAATGCATTACAACATCTCATCAATACGGAGTATAATTTATGTAATAAAGTCATAAAACCTAAAAATTGGATCGTAGTTATTCAGTAGCCCTTTTCTTCTATCACAAGGTATATGTTTTCAAGACACAAACTTTAATACATATGGAGTACTAAATTTCGTTTTGTCCAAGTTACAACGAGATCTCATTTTTATACATGATTTACAATATGTTAACTAATTATTAGTAATAAAGATTAAAGAGTTGATATAGATCGAATCAAAATATTTGAAGTTAACAAACTACGTACTCCGTATCTATCAATCAAAAGAGGGATAAATGCAATAGATCTGGAAACAATAAAAGCTTCTGATGCAGCCAGAAAACTCGAATCGTCCCTCGGACCTGCAGCCTCCCATCTTCCGTCAGCGGCTTCGGCGGGCTTAAGGAGCAAAGCCCGCCTCCTCCCCGTTTTTTGTCCCATCCAAAGCCATAACATCCTCTTCTTGTTCCTTCTCTGTCCGGGTCTCCCTGATCTTCCTTCTCTTCGAAACCTCTCCTTTTGACGCCTCCCCACATCCTTTAGTAAAGCTTTGGGCTGATTCAGTCGTTACATCTTTCCCCTTTTCACCAATCATATCTTCTAATTTCTGTGCCTCTATATATCCACCCAATCTGCCAAAGTTCGATGAACCCTCCAGAAGCCATTTATGACCTCCTGTAGGACTGGTTTTCACCCCACTTCCTGCTCTAAGATGGATCCCACATCTTTTTCTAAAACTAAGCCTTCTTCATAATTTAAGAGACAAAAATTATCTAAATGTCCAATAAATCCACAGATAAAACAATAAGTTGGTAGCCTTTCATATTTAAAATCTACCCAAAAACTTTTGCCATCTTTTTTCAGATTTGTCCCTTTCTTCAATGATTTATCCATCTTCAGAAGGACCCTAATCCACATATATGGCTCTAATTTATCACTCTTCTTAATGTCATCATATTTAATAAATTGCCCTATGGAATTTCCCACACGTCTGGCAGCACCCAGGTTAACAAGACTATAGGGAACATTATGAATCTGAACCCAAAACTCCGTCTCATTTAAAATAATTTTGTGTGGGATATCATCAGGCATAACTTCTTTTAACATCACAAGACTGTGTTCAAATTGCCATGGACCCCCCTCAAGAACACGCATCATATCAAAGCGGTGAAAGAAAGTAAACAGATACCTTTTTTCCCCGATCTCCTTAACCACCATACCCTTCCCCGGCCTCCACAATGATAGCGGTGAAAGAAAGTAAACAGATATCTATAATCAACTCCTACATGAATCTAATGTAATATAGTGCTTTTGGAATATGCATTGACATAACATTTTTAAACGAGCATAGCACCAGTACCAAATGAGCATACATAATTTACCATATGAGCATACATGACTTACAAAATGAGCATTAATCTGAAAATCATAAGTTTTTTAAGTTGAGTATCAACACATTTTCATTGAGCAGTAAACCCCTCTATTGAGTATGTATTTATATAGTGTACTAGGTATACATTCTTGTTTGCTCATTCCTTTCAAGTTTTAATTAAATCCCTCTTGTATACTTATTGAATTTAACATACGTAACAATATATTATTCAACACTTTGTACATTCCCTCTTTGAATTAAGAATCAATCACACTATATAAGTTTATATTTCTGTATTTTTTATTGATATAACATTTTAAAATGAGTATAAAACAATTACCAAATGAACATATGTAACTTACAAAATGAACATAACACCAATACAAAATTAGCATACATTACTTATCAAATGAGCAATTATATGAAAATCATAAGATTTGTTAGTTGAGTGCCAAGACATTTTTATTGTACATCAAACCTCTTTTGTTGAGTATCAGAAGCATGCAACTGAGTATCATAATTTCCGCTCTCATGTATACAATCTAACTCTTATGCGAATCTATTATGATACTTTTGAAATATGCATTAATATGACATTTTAAAATGAGCATAAAACAAGTACTAGATGAATGTACAGAGCTTACAAAATGAGAATTGAAAAATTAAAAAGCTTGTTTGAATTCTCTAATGTGTTCAAATGGTCATTTGTGCACATATAATGACAAATATAGTTATGAAAAACATAGTACGTTTTTTAATATTAAAAAAATTTATATAAAGAAAAAAGAAATAGGAATTCAAAATTAGGAGATTCTCAATTCTAATTCATTTTTGGATGTCCCTTTATTATTGTTTCATACTATAGTCGGTAACATTTGTGTGACTCTAATTCATTCTTACTTTATTTCCACTTTATCAACTCATTACCAACCACATAATTCTACTTTTCTTAAAAATCACACTACTCTCTTCCGTACCAATATTAGGGGGACGGAGGGAGTATTTTTTTATGCATTTTGTAAGGGCTGAGATTCTAAAATACGGAGTACAATTTAGTAAGCATTGAAGATAAATAACCCTCATAAATATTAAGGTCCCACAACTATAGTACTTTGGTAGAGAGAATTCCCCAAATGAGACTAAAACATAGTAGAAGTGCATATATAAACCGATGCACCTCCTGCGATCGATGTGCACCTCCTGCGAACGATGCGCACCTCCTGCAATCGATTCACCTCCTACGCCGACACCACCCACCCTTTTTGCCAGCCACCATTGCCAAGACGTTGCCGCCGCTGCCCAACGAGGATGCCTCCACCACTGCCCAACGAGGACTCCGCCGGTGTTGCCGGCAAGACCGCCATTGCCGCTAAATTATCTCCTCGAGGTGTCGACATCTTCTCTGTTGCAGCTACCTCCTCTAGAGTGTATGTTATGAGATTTCTATATTGAATTCTGACATAATTATGTAAACATAAATGACATTTTAGAATTATAAATGTGAAATAAGAGAAGAAAAAGAAAAATGAAGAATGACAAGAAGTAATAATGTTGATAAACTCAATTTCTATTAATATTGATAACATGATAAAAATAGTGACAAAAACATGGCACTTTCAGTTTCAACATAGCATTTTCACAAAGTGAGTTGCATAAAAATGACACTATTTTGTCAAACGGGCTAAACATAGCATGTTCATATGAAACTATAAAATGACATATTATGTAATTTTCAATACACCTTCACAAAGTGAGTTGCATAAAAATGACACTATTTTGTCAAACATGCCAAAAGCATGTCATTTTGAGTTTAAACATAGCATTTTCATATGAAAGTATAAAATGACATATTATGTCATTTTAAGTACATCTTCACAAAGTGAGTTGCATAAAAATGACACCATTTTGTCTAACGGAGCAAAAACATGACATTCACAAATTTAATTTGAAAGTAATTTTGTCATTTTGATAGATGCAATAACGTACAAAAGTGACATTTTTCAAGGAAAAATTGATTGTAATAATCCCAACTATTGGCGATCCGCTTATAATAATCCCAACTATCGATTATCTCAGAATAATCCCAACTTTAGTGACCTTCCGCCAATAATGGTCCAACATTACCGGCTATAAATAAATTCCTATAGTTTCTAAAGTGGATGAGAAGAGATATAACAAGTAATCCATATAAATAATTCAACTTTTAATTTTTACGCTTTATTTCTATTTAAAATTCACTTGTGATAGCAGGTCATATCTGGTCATGGACCATTATTGGCGGAATGTCACTAAAGTTGGGATTATTCTGAGATAATCGATAGTTGGGATTATTATAAGCGGACCGCCAATATTTGGGATTATTACAATCAATTTTTCCTTTTTTTCAATTTACTTTCATAGCCAAGTCCAAATCAAGTTTACAGGTAGCGATCCATCCTCTGTATATTTCAGGGAAGCCACAAACCAGTAATGGCAATTTTTTTTATTTCAAATCCAAATTCTACGATCTAATTTTTGTAGAATCTCAAAAGTAAGTATGCATTTAATTGGGGAAAATATTTCAAACATGAACAAAATAGAGCTAGATCAGCAAGGAAAGAACATAGAAGAAGAAAAGAGAAGGGGAGAGGATATGAGAGGAGAGGAGAGGAGAAGAGATGGAGAAAATTACCTTGGTGTCGCCGGAGAAGAGCAGACGAGCGGCTGGGCGTCTTCATCGCAAATAGCTATTGGTATTCATCGCATATGGCCTGGGCATTTTCATCGCAGATGGCTTGGGGTCTTCATCGCGAATCGCTGTTGTACTGCATCTGTTGGAGCCAATAGCTATTTTGGGGTTTTATAAGATGAATGGTAAAAAAGTAATTGAGAGTCCTATTTAGGGAATAATAAACTTAATGTCCTATTGTGGAATTTTAACCATGTTTTAGTCCTATTTAGGACAATTATTTCTACTTTGGTATTGCAGCTTCTCCCACATTCAAAGTGCTCGACACTAGACACAGTTTTGACTTTCCAACTATCCTATCGCTATTTCGGCTATCATCAACCGTCTGGAAAAGCTGAATCCCAGAGACCAAGGAGAAATAGAGAAGATGATGAATCGAGCCGTGGAGGATTGAACTAGACGGGAAGTTGGGCTGGAGAGATGGTCGCGGGATGATCTAGCAGTGAGGAGCGAAGGCCGGCAGATCCATTGATATAATCCAGCTTGAAGATGAACGTAATTTCAAAAATAACCGGCTGTACGGTGCTCACCGTACAACCATGCTCACCGTACATCCGATTGTACGGCGCTCACCGTACAGCCGGTTGTACGGTGTAATTTACGCAGCGTATATGGTACAGCCGGCTTTAAGGTGCAAGCCGTACAGTCGGTGGCAAACTTGTAATTTTGGTGAAAATCTCAGATTCACTTTAAATGAGCATTGAATCAATTTTGATGAGCATCGAGCCTATTCTTTTGATTATTAAGAGCCTATTGGTGAGCATCATTGATAATTAATCCAAAATGAGCATACATAACTTATAATTTAGTATTAAATAATTAAAAAGTTCATTTGTGTGTGCTCATTCATTTTGGGCGTTATACTCATTTGAGTTGAACATAAAACTCATTTCTAATGTGCTCAATATTCATTTGGATATGTTCATTTAAAATGAGTACTACACTAATATCAAATGAGTATACATAAATTACAAAATGAGCATTCATAAAATTCATTTGAAATGTCTACTATGCTCATAATTTCATTTATTATGCTCACATCTGAAGAATTACATATAACTTAGATTTCTCTAACCTATGGCCAACAAGTGACCAAACTCACTCACCAAACTTAAGTAAGAAAAACATAAAAAGGAAGAGTAGTCAAAAGCAAGAAAGAGGGAGAAGAAGCAACTATGGCTATACACCAGGTGCTTCGCACGAGACGCCACTGAAGCCGGGGTCTGAGGTGCTGCGCTCGTGTGTGGAGTGTTGCGGATGTTGAGAATCGTCATCTGTGTGGGCGGCGAGCGAAGGACGAGCAACGAGAACGATCTGCGATGGAAGCCTGCGAGCTGCGATGGAAGACCTGCGACCTGCGATTTGGGAATTAAAAGACCGGTTGTACCGTGCGCACGGTACTGCCGATTGTATGATGAAATTTACCATCAATCTTTCTACTAATTACAAAAAATTGGGTGTATTTTTACACCCCGGTGTAGAATATATATTGCGAATAAACTATGTGCGATTCTTGAATGATAAAAAAAATTAAAACTCCCGATAAAAATAAAACTAGTACCGTTCTTATTTTTAATAGGAACGGAAAATATATTTTAATAGTTTAGTGTTTTTCTAGGTTTCACTAATTTTGTTAGTAGAATCAAACTGGTCCTAGACTGGTTTCGTAGCTAGTTTTAATCATATTGTTACATAAAATGATTTGAATTAATTATACATATATAATTAAAATAAAAGTTGTTTACAAAAAGTTTATAAATGTAATGATTATAAGGGTGTTTTCTTTTGACTTAAATATGCTGGTCTGGTCTGGTCTGGTTTTGTAAACTAAATATCTGGTCACTTTGTATTTTATAATATACGGTTGCACATAATGTCGCCGGCGCCGCCGGGTGTCGCCGCAGTCGTCCGCACTGTGCGGGACAACCGTGTGAAAGTCCCGTTCCATCCCGGCAATGATATGTCATCCTGGACAAGCGCGTTCAGCTTCATCGCCTCCAAATTGGAAGAACACTTCGGTCTGGAATTTTGGGAGTCCTTCCCACTGGCGAACTCTATGGTTCCCTTTGCTCTGTCCAACGTCCGGGACCGTCCTTGCGGCCTGATCCTCACCAACGTCATTGAGGCGACTTTACCACCTCCGCCGCCGCAGGATGCTCTGTTTCTTGACGACACTCTGGTTTTCAACGCCGGCGATGTCTCACAATTTGCGGCCGCCCCTGCCCCATTTTTGCCGGCCGGATGGAGTTCTGGGAATGAGACGACTTATGCCCCGCGGCTGCAGCACCAGGATGCTCTGTTTCTTGACGGCACTCTGGTTTTCGACGCCGCCGATGCCTCACAATTTCCGGCCGCCCCTGCCTCATCTTTTCCGGCCGGATGGAGGTCTGGAATTGAGACGACTTATGCCCCGCGGCTGCAGCACCAGGATGCTCTGTTTGTGGACGGCGGTCTTGTTTTCAATAGCTTTGCCGATGACCCATATTTCCTGGCCGCCGTTTCCCCACCTTTGCCGGCAGAAGGTATGTCGGAGAATGAGATTTCAAGCATAAAGACAGAAGCTTTTGGTGGCGGAAAAGGCGAGGCTTGTAGTATCTGCTTAGATGATTTTAGGGGAGGGTCGGCGATCATATCTCTATCGCCATGTTCCCACAAATTTCACAAAGGCTGCATTGCGAAGTGGCTGCGGAGAAGAAGGACCTGTCCGATGTGCAGAACAATTGCCTTAGTTTCTTGAAACAAAACCAGAAAATATTCAATTAGTTTAACAGATTCTTATTCCAGGATTTTGTGAATCCTATTTTTTTGTAAAGCCTTGGCTGCAATATATATAGAGCTCTAATTTGCACTTTTGATGAGATTGTTAACTCAAATTATGATATATATTCTCAACTTATATACATATATATATTTTAATATGAACTGATCTCCATGTTTACTTATTTCGAGTATTCAACTGGTTTTGATAGTACTATGATAACAGGAAACTCTTCTCATTTTGTCTGCAGTTTCTTGTTCACATTTTGGAATTTGAAGTGTTTTTTGTTTGTTTTGCAATCCTTAAGTCTATATATCACCCTTAACCTTGTAGCAGTCATCACAAATATCAAAGACTACCTTAATCAGACAACATAAGTATATTTGGAAGATTTAGTAGTTAGTCTTAAACTATATAGATACTTATGCCACTTCATTTTTTTAGAAATTATATTGCAGCTCCATTTCAAAAAATACCTATAGGCTATAGATAGGAAAAGATTGGGGTTTTAGTTAACATAAATAAGTACCAATTAACAGCAACACAATGTAAACTTCTCATATATCGGAAGTTCTGTCTTAAATCATCCGTCTGTATAGTTTCTGTATTATTTTGCAAATAGAAATTAGTTCAAATAGGACTAAAATTATGGCAAAAACCTAAAATATGACTTGCTATGTTTTTATTCCAAAATAGGACCATATGAGTCCTATTGGAAACATACCTATTTTTGCATTCCATTCTTACCCTTCCATTGAATATGAATTAAAAATAGTCAAAAGCCATAATTAAATGTTTAATTCATAATAAATTCGAAAAAAATTCAAAAATTCGTAGAAATATAATTAAAAAATTTATAAAATTTTTATAAAATAAAAAATTCAAAAACTTTTTTTTAAAATAATTTTATTTTTAAAAAAATTAATAAAAAATAGTAAAACTCCGTAAAAAAATTTAAAAAAATATGTGATGGATAGTGTACCCGGGGGTATATATCCGAGGGGTTATTACGGGGAGTAATAAGAGAGAAGTCAGAGCAAGTAAATGTAGAGAGAGAAAGTATATTGTAAGTGTGGAGCGTTTTCAGCGTGGTTACAAATGGGGAAATGGGGTGCTATTTATTGTAGCAATAAATTCCGGACAGGGACACGTGTCAAGCGCCCATTGGCCGAGAGGTCACCTCAACTGGTTGGCGCTGGCAGCCGCATGTGGCCGCATTTAATGCGGCTGTCGGATGGGACGTCTGTACAGGGTA